CAGAATTCATGGCTGTAATCGGCCACACATTTAAAAATCTACACCAAACATGTAATGTCTTACAAAGCAAATCTGGTGCATTGTACTGTGTTGAAATGGGAATTTGCTCAGGCCCATCATTCTAGGTTAACTTGCTGGTGACTGAGGTACTTTGTTTATTCACATGCACCCTATGAGGCAAGATATCATGCCTAAGCAAGAAAACAAGAAAATATGAAATACCCTCAGGACCTCTGGGGATCACTGTATACAATTTGATTATTTTATAAATACTATTCTATAAATAGGTAAGGTAACAGCATGTTAATTGCTTTGAGAATCATTAGGGTTTTTAGACATTACATTTTAATTCTCTACTGATCATGTGAAAATGAAAAAAAATCAAATTTTTATTTCAAATATTTATTTGTAATAAATGCAAATTCATACAGGTTTTTTCAAAGTGCTTTCTAATGAACTAAACAATTTGACTTGAAGCAAACATTTAAAATATGAATTGTCAGTCCTCATTGCAGAAGGCTGCAAAATTATGAACAAGCGAAAAACAGGTTTTATTCTGGAAACATTAAACAAAATTGTATCTGCCTCTGCTAACATCATTAAAAATTTACCTATTCCTGGTGCTTCTCCTTCTTGATAGAAAATTTTTAATGCTTTACTTCCTCTCTTGGCAAAAAAAGAACTAAAGGCTTCCAACTGTTAAATCAAAAAGTAAATACTTGTTACCCAAAATATTTTTATGTGCCCTTAAGACAAGCAAAAGTAATTTGACCATTCCACTGTTAAAAGTTTTAGTGGCATGTAATGTTTATCCTCAAATACTGTGAGGAGTTACAAAATAACATTATAATTATTTCAAATATTGCTTTCAAGTACTTATCTTGCTCACAAAGGTGGCCTAGTTCCTAATAACTCTAATGTTTTTGGTCCTCTCCAGTAATGCAGAGACACTGAAGGATATGCTGTCACTAACAGAATCTGTAAGTCTCAAGTATCAAATAAAAGTTAACTAGTCATAACAGACTTAGAAATACACACAGCAGATTTGCAGTACTTGATATACCCTGCTACTGCTACTCTACCCCTAAATGTAAAAGATGAATTTGTAAAGAGGAGTAACATCACACTTGGGAATTTTAGTGTGGAGACATGAATGGTGTTAGGAAAATGAGTGACACCCAAGTGGGACAGTATTTAAACTTATTATTTTGAGAAGACAATGTTATGTGAAAATAAAAAAACTAAAAGCAAGCCAGCTCTAGAAATGCATGCTGCGATTTCACTTTGTTTAATAGGCGGTAGTGAATAACAGGGTTAAAACTGAGAAAAGTACAGAAAAAAATCCTCCCAGAATAAAGAAAAAATGGTAAACTGCTGAAAGGGCAGTGACAAAAATCAGAAAAAGATTCACTACTATAAAAAGCACTCCAACTTGAGAGGAAGAGAAAGTAACTTTTGGTCTTCTATGATTTTACACAGGAGGCATGACATGAGCTGTTCCTATGTCTACTTATTCTGTAAATAGCTTTCAGTCCACATGGTGCGAACATTCACTGTCTGAATACACAGACAGGCTAATGCTCTAAAGAGTAAAACTTAACTCATGGATGTCAAAGACATGAGATGTATTTGGGAGTTTACTAAATGAGAATTTGTTAAAGGACAATGTTGACACAGCCTCAGGAGTCTAAACTGTTTATAAATAAACTAAAACTGGAAAATTTCCAACCATAAGAAGTTTTCAGATGGTCCTGGTGACAGGACAGGAAAAAGAAAACCAACAACAAACCCATGAAGTTAAGGTGATCTAAAACTATATACCATTTAGAAACTGTTAAAAAAAGAAATGTTAGCTGATTGTCAACACTTAAAGCATCTCTGTGTTGTGTAAGCATATCAACAAACATATAGGACAGACTCACCGAAGGGGCATCCAAAATCATTTCTTCCACAGTTTCTAAGTCTAAACCTAGCCTGATACTGAGAACTTCAAATATGTATTTATAGGAAGCATCAACTTTTGTCTTTCGATTTTCTCTTGCTTCTTTGTATTGAGCCTAAAGCATTAAACACATCTTTCAAGTTAAAAATACACAGTGACCACAAGAGTGACCTGCTACTTAACTCACAACTAACGCTAAAATTTGTCTTGTACACTACATAACTACCCTGCTTTTAAAAAAATCTAAATTTTCAGAGATGAATAAGATGAATAAGAATGAATTATTAGAATTATTATAAAATGTAAAGTCAATTCTGAGGGTATGTCAAAGAAAAGCAAACATTAAATATACTACTACTAGATTTTAAGATATTTGTGTGAAATGTTAACTAGTTTTATTTTTCACAATCAATATTTCAATTTATTATACTAATCCAGAAAGGCAGCAACATCAATTTAAAACCAAAGCATCTAGAGTGGGTAAATATTTGAAGGAACTAAGCTGGGTACAGCTTTGCTTCAGGGTAAATTATTCAGCTAACATCTCCTGTTTCCTTCCTCTGTTACTTTAAAATAAAACCTTAAAATACTACAAACACAGGAAACAAAGACTCATTTTCTACCAGAAATCATTTAATAAAAGAACTGAGTATAAACAAAAAAGAAAGAAAAAAGGAACAACAAATACAAACTGAATTTAGTCATCTGAGAAAAGAACCAGAAATTTATTTAAAAACCTATGGTTGAATACTAAACCTGTTTTTCTTTTAAAATTTCTTGCAAGGACAGAGATCCATCAGTGCCCCGGCAAAATCTAGACAACTTTCGGCTTGCAGCAGAAAAAGAGTCTAGGGAAGAGGAAAAGCTTGTTAGGTTTCGACTAAGGCAAAGAGATCTGGATGCAGTATCTTCTAGCATAAAACTCTCTGCACTGGGAATAGGGCTAGCCGCTTCTCCACTGCTTAAACTTTCTCTGTATCTTTTTCGTGCCCCCTCCATCTTGAAATCTGAAAAACAAAATAAAAACAACAAACCAAAACCATTTACAACAATAGAGATTTTTCAAGTCTATCTATAAATATATACATATATATAAACTTAAATGTGTTATTCAGTGTGCTCAAATCTACACATGGACTGAGGGACTAGTCTTAAAGCACTGTAATCACCACTACAGCGATACCTGAAGTCCCTACTTCAGGTCTAATTTTTCCTCAAAAAGTAGCTTGTTCAGTTTCACAGGGATGTTATATGGAAGAAACATTTTATAAAACAAATGTTGACATATACTAAGGTTATACCTAGGGTAACAGCTGAAACAAAAGCACAGAAATCACTATTCTATTCAGAGCACTATTACCATAAGGATTAAAACAACCATCAGGAACTACCAGGTAGCTCTTAAGAAGCCTTAGGGCATGTAATTGTGTTATATACCCTCTTAGATGCTATTGCCTGATTCAGGATATAGAAAATCAGAAGTGAGATAGACATGAAAAGGCTGCTGGTGCTGCACTATTAACTCCTTATTCTTGCCCATAATTAGCTAAGTGAGCATGGTTCTCTGAACTCTGGCATGCAATCACCTGTTACAGAAAATGTTAATCTCTTTCTTAAAGTAAAAATACTAAGAAAAAAACACAACACTTTAGCAAAGTCACAAAAAAGGGAAAATTTAAAATTAGATTAACTCATGTTAATCTGACTGGTTTAGTCATCTCTAAGGTTAGCAGGGGTACTTTCCATGTCAACATTCAACCTGGAATAGGTTGGTTTTTAATCCTGCATTTTAACTGGTTCTCTTGGCAGCTGACACTTTCTCCTAAAGCTCTAGGTGAGAGAGGTGAGACTGCCATTAAAAACAAATGACTTTCATTAAAAACAAAGACTACATTGTATCCTGGTACCTTCCTTGACTCTCTAAACACCTGTACTCAAGATGCCTGGTGGCTCATATGAGGTTTTCACACTTTCCAAAAACCAGCATGAACTCCAGCTGGCTACCTATCCTAGTTATAACAACAGATGTGCCTCCAGGATCTGTTTATGCAAAAAAAGGAAGTCTGGTTTCCAGGACAAGTCTTAGAAGGAGGATCAGGAGGGAAAGCAGAAGATTTCCAAGTATGGAGCACCAGAGATACTGACTTCTGGCTATCTTCTGAAAAGCCGAGGTGACTTAACCGGCACTTCTGCTTTGGTAGAGATAAGCAGGCGGCGAGGGGCACTGACCTGGCTAGAGCTATGCCTCAGAACGCGGGGAGAGGGGAGCACCCCCCCAACGGCATAGCCGCCCTCCGCTGTCGCTTTAGAAGGCAGAGCATGCGGTCCAACGCCTGCCGCGGGGCTCTGGCCAGATGAAATACCGTTAGCGGGGATGCCGTTAACGGGAGCCCGTAACGGCCGCGGCAGAGCTCGCGGTCCCCGCACCCAGGCGGCGCTGGGCCAGGTGCGCGGCTCGAGGCCTCTTCCCACCGGACCCGGCCCTGCCAAAGCTCGACCCGCTGGCCGTGACGGGCAGCGAAGAGCTCAGCGCAGCCCGGTGCTCTGAATCCTCTTGGCAGGGTTGGTATTAGATGGCGCCTGTGGAAGTTACCGAGAAACGCATCCCGGATTCTACACTGCAGAGGCGATTTCACCTCAATTAAAGTGTACTTTTATTTATCATCCCCCCCACCCCCGTGTTCACTCCCGTTTTTCTGGCGGAGTTTTCGGAAAGAAAGTTTCTTTAGACACGGAGCAGTTGTTTATACCAAGCACCATCAAAACGAGCGCACAAGGGGGCTGTAATGCGCCGAGCCGAGTTTCCAACCAACACAGTCACAAATCCCCGCTCCATCCGAGCTGGGCCCGCTATCGGCGCCTGTGCAGGCGCTGGTCCCGCACCCTCAAGCCTACGCGCAGCAGCTGAAGGGATCCCTCCTCAAGTGACCGCCGGAAGACACATGGTTTCACGCCACTCTCCACCGAATTAATTCCACAGGCAAGGAGTTTCCTTCCCTTCGACGCATACGGAAACGAAGGGACAACACCAGACCTCACCCGCGCCTAGCACCGATGAAATGCAGGCGGGGCGGAGCGAAGCAGAGCACCGCCTTTCCGAGAGAGCTGTCTCCTCCTTCTACTCCTCTTCCGACATGGCGGCGCCGGCGGAGCTCAGCGGCCTCAGCGATGAGGCGGCCTACGCCGCCTGCTCGGAGCCGGATGCCAGTACGAAGGTGGGGTGAATGGGAGGGGGGGAATCAGAGTGTCCCGTGGTTGCCGGCGCCTGGCCTTGCGACGGTGCCGCCGGTGTCTCTCCGTCCCGTTGCCCTGCATTTTGCCCAGCGGACGTGCGGTGGATGGGAGGCGGCATGGGGGAGCGAAAGGGGTGGCCAGGGCTTGCCGGCCCAACTAAAGACGTACCCCTACGTTTTCATTTTTTACTAGGATACCTTGTAATTGCATTTAAGGTGTTCTGCGTCTGTCTTGTTTATTTTAAATACATCTCTTTAGTTACGCTACCATTTGCTTTATGTCCACTTAAATTGTTTGTTAGCCCTTGGCACATAAAGTTATCTCATGGCTTTAGGAAAATACCCTCCTAGAATTGCAGGCAGGTTTTGAGGCCAAGACTACCATCAGGCTTGACAGAAATTCAACATCTGTGCAATGATATAATAAACTCCTGAATTTAAATGCTCTGTCTGCAGTGAGGTCTAATGTCAAATATGCATGTGCTAGCTGTGCTCGCATACAGAGTGGTTCATGTGCAGTACAGCTCCATAAAAGACGAGTAAAGAATTATTCTTTTTTTTAATAACACTGATAATATATGTTGAGTGATACCACTAGTAGTTTTGTTTTAAGCATTGTGTTACAAAGGCATATCTCTTCAAGACAAATCTGTATGCATAGGGTCGGGACAAAAGGTTTTATTTACACCTAATGTAGCACTCTGCTTGTTACTTCTAAACCTGCTAGTTTTAGATTCATGGCATCTTTGTTAATGCCCATAAATAAATTCTGGTTGATGTATAAATAATAAGTATTTTTTTCCCCAGGATTTTTTATTCCAGCAAACAATGTTAAGAGTAAAGGATCCTAAGAAGTCACTAGATTTTTATACAAGAATTCTTGGAATGACGTGAGTAGAAGTTGCATGCCACAATAAGCTTGGGTTTGCCTACTGTTCTTCTGAGAAGCTTTTGTTATTTTAATGTAATTATACTAATTGGTCTCACAACAGTGGTGCCTATCAGCTGATGCTCACTTGGATAGTCTGGCAATCTCTGAGCACAACACAGTTAATGCTTAAGATGCAGATGAACTAATATTGGCCTTGACAAGAAATTTCTTAAATAGGTCACTAATTATCAGTGTACAACTTGATTACTTTCTCCTCACTGAACCTGCAGCTAACTGGTAACTTTTATGACAGTTCTTACAATTGCAATCACTGCTGTAAATCCTGGAATTAAGTTTTATGCTCATTCTCAGAGGTGGTTTATGATCACCTCTGATCATAAGACAGTAAGGCAGTGGAAGCTAGAGACAAGGTCCAGACTCAGCCTTTTGAAGAAGGCTGTTGGGAGGCAGATGCAGTAGCCTAATATGTTTAAGCTAGGCTCTTCTTTGCACAGTACTGACATTTGAAATGAGTTATTTCAAATCAAAACTTTAACATATTTTTAAACATCCTGAAATGAGTCCAGATTAAAGAATCTGTTTCTACTTTAGTGAAGATGTGAGAAAATAAAAATGAAACTAAAAAATAAATTAGATTAATTTTGCATGCGTGCTTGTTCTGGCTAAATATCCTACATAAAAAGTGTTTACAAGTATTTTTTAGTTTATGAAATTGTCACATATGAAATGGATTTTATCATTATACCTAGCTATTGAAATTGTAAAATTAATTAAAGGTATGTTTGTGTTTTAATCCTGCTGTGTTCTTAAACTGATCTGATGCCAGTCCATTCCTGAGACTTGGTCAGTTTCAAAGTAAATATTTTTATTCCTTGGTAGTATTTTAAAGGGTAAAAACAAAGATCTTCCTGAGGAAATACAGACAAGTAACAGAGTGGCAACCTCAAGATATGAGCTTTTGTATTGGCTTTGAGATTCCATTACTGATAGTTTTGCTTTTAAGCGTCCAATTTTCTTTTTTTTTTTCTTTTTTTTAATAGGTTTATAGTAGGTTTTGGATTGTTTCTATTTTATAGTTAAAAATGTAGCTATTTTAAGATGTGGATTACAGTCAGAAAGATGCAAAAAAAGCCCCAACAAAAACATGGAAAACTTGTTCCATGGGGAAGCACCTTGGTTTATTTGCAAACTATCTGATTACCTTTTTAAGTCACTATTTCAAAATATTTTTTTTTGCTATTTAGACTGCTTCAAAAATTTGACTTTCCTGCTATGAAGTTCTCACTCTATTTCCTGGGATACGAAGATAAAAATGATATTCCAAAAGACAAAACTGCGAGAACAGCTTGGACTTTCTCTAGAAAAGCTACACTTGAATTGACACAGTAAGTATTAATATAGTGGGAGATAACATTTAGCTAACAGTGATTAAACAGAAGTGGATGAGTGTAAATCCTGTTGGAGTGAATAAAAAAATGTAATCATTACTGTGGAAACATCTTCACTGTTCTATAGCTTTAACATATGGCTGAGATCTTGGATACTTGGCAAGCTTAATCTTTCCCTTTTCAGAGCTCTTTCAAACTTCTGGGTGAATAGTGGTACATAAGTATGAGATAATGCTTGCTATGTTTTGAGTATGCGTAGGGAAGTTACAGAATTTAACCGAAAGAGGTATTAAGTCAAAACATACACTTCCCATAAAGGGGACAATTTGGTTAATGTTATTAATCATTGTAACTGTGTAGGAGGAATCTCCCAAATACTCCATGGTCTTGCTTAACCTCAGGACCACTTGCTCTCACTGTTTGTTCCCCAACAATGGCTAGATTCGTGCAGTGCAACCTTCTCTAATCTGAATGAGACAGGAGAGTTTCTGACTCATTCAGGTATAGAACCTGAATATTAGGGCTGTAAACATGACTAGATTAGAACTGGATCCCTAGGACCTGTGACCAAGGAAATTCTTGATAGTTTAATGAATGTAGCCAACAGCTGAAATTCTCTGGTTTCTTAGGAGAAAGAACTTACCCTCCTGAGGAAGCTGAACATTTAGGATTTGTTAATTTTGATGCTTTTCTTCAATGTGTAATAATTACTTCTTACAGCAACTGGGGTACTGAAAATGATGAAAATCAGTCTTACCACAATGGAAATTCAGATCCCCGAGGATTTGGTAGGTTTGTAGTTTTGTGTTTGTAGTTTTTAAGCTTTGGTTTATTGTGATTACATTTTTTTTCCTTGGGGAAAAATGGAACTTTAAACGATTTTTAGAATTGCATAAATTCTGTGCATGCTGTAGCTTTTTTTTTTTTTTAAGAGAACTGTAGAGAAAATATTCTAAGCTTGTGTCATGGTTTAAACACAGCCATTAACTCAGAACTATGTAGCTGCTCGCTCACCGCTCACTCCCCCCCCTTCCTTCCCCTGCTTCCGAAGGGATGGGGAGGAGAGTTGGAAGAATGTAACTCCCACAGGTTGAGATAAGAACAGTCCAGTAACTAAGGTATAACACAAAACCACTACTGCTACCACCAGTAATAAAAATAAGGAAAATAACAAGGGGCGAGAATACAACCACTCATCACCCGCCAACTGATACCCAGCCTGACAGAGTAGTGTTCTAGCCCTTCCGGGTAACTACCCCCAGTTTATATAGTGGGCATGATGTGCTGTGGTATAGAATACCTCTTTGGCTAGTTGGGGTCAGGTGTCCTGTCTCTGCTTCCTCCCGGCTTCCTCTCCTCCCTGGCAGAGCATGAGACTCACAAAGTCCTTGGTCAGACTAAACATTCTGACCAGCAACTAAAACATTGGTGTTATCAGCGCTGTTCTGAGGCTGAAAGTCAAAACCACAGCACTGCACCAGCTACTAAGAAGGAGAAAAATGACTGCTATTGCATGGATGAAAAGACTACTAGTAGGTTACTTGAAAGAAAACATATCAGCACAAAGAAAGAAGGGGACTTCAATCTCATCCTTTATGTCTCTTCTTCCAGCATGTATGCTGTGAAAGATTGTGAAAATGGGTAAATATGTTTCAGAGTAATAAGCCACAGTTACACTTTTTATAAAAAAATCTAATCCTTTGGCAAGCAAACCATGCTAATAGTAACTACAAAATGAAGAATAGTAATTGCTCTTGTCAGAGTATCATGGTGTTTAGACTGATTTACATTTGGATTTCTATTTTATAATCCAGTAGTTACCCATTTTAATCTGGAAGGAGAATTCCAGTTGCGTGTAGCAGTGAGGATAGTATTTGTATGGCTCAGTTTGGTATTTTGAGTGTTTGAAAGGTCACTGGTTTGTGAAATAAGTTTGGTACTCCATCTAGCCACTTGACATTTAAAGCTTCTGAATCGATTTGTAAGCTTAGGCCTTGCATAGTGTTAGTCTCTACAAATACAGCATTAAAAATAGACTCCTTGTGCTGTTGAACTAAGCAAATACAACCAAATACTGTTATGTGGTCATGCTTTGGGAAAATACAGATAAACCAGTGATCAAGAACCTTATTTTTTCCTACTCTAGATAATCTCATCTAAACAATATGAGCTACTTGAACTCTAAAGTTCCTATTTTAATAGGCATTATCAAAAAGACAACTTTCTGAAGTTGTATAATGTTAATATCCTAAGTGCTCCTCTTTCTGGAAGCAATGTTTGTTTTCTATATCTTACATGAACTGCAGCATGCAAACTTTTTGCAGAAGGTGAAATGCTGAGCAGACTGTTTCCTGGAACATCCAGCAACACTTACAGTGAACTTCTGTCTTTTTATCTTGTTGCACAGGACACATTGGAATTGCTGTTCCTGATGTCAATAAAGCTTGTAAGAGGTTTGAAGAACTAGGAGTGAAATTTGTGAAGAAACCAGATGATGGTAAGTCTTGATCAGAAATACAAGTAATTTTTTTTTTTCCTTTGTTTTTAATATATTATGTCTAGAAGATCTCTCTTGAAAACCAGGTAAGATATTTTCAGTTGTTGTCATTCTTAGGTGCTAAAACAAGTTATCCCAGCACCCTCTTACACACTGGGCAAAACTGAAATAGATCCGTCTTGGTAAGAATTGTGATAGTTATAGCTATGTGTCTTCTGCATGTAGTCTGACCTTCAGTAAAAGAGTTGATAGTTTATACTTCTGCCTAGAGTTACCACAGAATTTACTTTACCACGGACCGGATTCACACATCGCATCTGTTTGGTAATTATCATATGAAAAGAAGATGACTTGGGAGATGTAACTACTCCCACCATTAAAATTGAGTAATTCCTGACTTCTCTGCCTATTTTTATTTAATGCCACTTACTAGCTATTAGCATTTTAACTGTTCTGTCAGCTTTCACAGAAATAGCCTTATTAGTCTGTATCACATTTAACTTGTACAACTTTTAGTAAAAAATGCATAATGTTTAGTTCAAATGTCTAGAGACAAAGAATGTCTATTTCAAAAGCCTAAAATGCAGAAATTAGTAGTGAGAAGTCTTTCATTTTTCAGCTGGATTCTCCTTCATGAAGAGACCTTATGAGAGTTTTAGGACTGATGTATTCCAAATGGACATCTAGTACTTAGCAGCATGCATAAATTTTAAATACTTCTCCCCGGTTATAGAAACTAGATGTTTGCCTGTAGTAAAGGTGGGTTGTGATGGGTTTTGTTTGGCTCTTGTTTGGTTTTGTTTTGCTTATAGATTGAAAGTAGTATTAGTACATGAAGCTTCAGTTCACAGGTATTGGAATTGATCTAGATTCCTTGCTAGAGGAATAAGAACAAGTAAAGCAATTTTCATCTTACTCACTGTGCTCCCAGCTGAAGCAAATGGTACAAGCATAGATGAAAACTTAACTTGGACACAGATTTATTGATATAAGAATTGAACTTCATATTCCCAGCATTTTAAAGTTTCTGAGCCCTTTGTAATTTGTTCAACACCTGAACCCTGGGAAAGTTGATACGAAAGATTCTGATTTTGATTCTGTATTTCTGCACAGCTCTAAGTACATAGGAGGGGAAGTTTACACTGTGAATGGAATAAATCACAGGAAAACTCTTAAGGCAGTCAAGGGGGGGCAGAGCAAAAGCTGTGTTTTAAAACGAAGAAATAAAATCAAAACAGCAAATGCTAAGGAGGAGGAAGAAATTTTGGAATTCACATTCATTGTCGAGCAGGCTAAGAGACCTAATATTATTTTTTTTTCCCAAAATTACTGAATCAAACATCTATTGTTCTCAGAGGTTTTTGTAGTTAGAATATACTGTGAGTTAGGTTGGTTCTGTTACAATAAATAGCCTAATAGAGCAAGCATAATTAAAAATGTGTGGTTAACATTTTCAGATAACATCTTAAGCTGTGCTATCCTGATCTGCTGTTGAAGAACAATTTTTGGGGACCTTGTTTTAATCTGTGATATTTTTTCCAAACAGTAAAACTTAAAGCATTCCTGTTCTGCATTTTTCTGTTTTATGAAGTGATGCAACTGTGTACTATAAACCACATTGGGGAGGGAGGGGGAACAAACAAAAACCAGAAACAGAACTTCAGTGTGAATACAGGAATGATGGGAGATGAACAGGGCAGAGGAACACAGGATTTTATACTGGCAAAGCCAGTTCAAGAAAATTATGTCAAAACATCCTGGAGAACAAAAATGCTATTTAGGGGACTAATACTTACAAGGGCAATCGATAAAAGATAGAATTTCAAAGTGACTTTAAACTACAGCTTTGTAGATGGACAGTTTAGCATACAAAGATCTATTACTGATTTCAGACTTAGCTGTCTAAATTCGAACTCATTTTTATGCAAAACGGGGAAAAAAAAAGGAAAAAATATTTTTTCAAAGTAGTCATATTTGACATTAAGAATTAGTCATGTAGTCTTAACTTCATCTTGTTGCCTTTTTCTTTTCCCCCTCACAGGTAAAATGAAAGGACTTGCATTTGTTCAGGATCCTGATGGCTACTGGATTGAAATTTTGAATCCCAATCACATGGTGACTCTCACTTAGTTCTAATGAAGTATATTATATGAGACTCTCACTTTCAGTCCCCTGGAGAAAATCTGTAGCAGTGTTTATGAAAATCTCACTTAATGAAGAGGAATCAGTTGTGTTCAGAATCTCTTAAAACTATCTCCTGGGTCCTTGCTGTACTTGGATTCTTTTATTCCTGTCCTGTGATGCCACTTCAGTTTGTTCCCAATTATGAATACTCAACTGTTTTTTTTTGAAAAGCTCATACACAGATTCTCTTCTTGAATATTGATTATGTTAATATTTCACCAAGCCCTATCAAAAGATACATGATCAGAAATTCCCTGGCTCTCACACCCTTAAACTAACAAAACAAAAAATCCTTTGTTGCTACTGATGAGCTTCAACAAGGAAGAAAAAAAAAATACACCTTCAGAATATTTTTTTTTAAATAATGTCAACACATCCTGAAGGCTTCATGCACTATATTGTAGAATATAAAATGTAGAAATAAAACGTCAGACTGACTTGAGTACTAGTATGTTTATGAAAGTCCTTATCTTACTTGTATTATATCAGGCAAAACTCTTTATGGAGCAGCCTTAAGCAGCCTTGCCTAGAACAAGATACTTTGTGGAGGCAATAAATCAGTCCAGCAGAAAAAAATCAGTCTTTCAGCTTCTGGCTGCTGATTGACAGGCAAGATAAGAGGTCTCACAGTTGCTAACTTGCCTCTTGCTCCTTCTTGTCTCTTCCAGTGCTAGACAGAACTTGCTCATAATTTTTATTTCAGTGAAAGTCTGGGGCTATGTTTAATTTAAATGCTGGGTACATTCTGCATTAGGAAATAAAAAATGAGTGTCTGAAAAAACGGCTTCCTACCAGTAGTGTCCTCACAAAAGCAATGATGGTTACTGAAATGGTACCCGTAACCAGTAGGAAAACATGCAACATTTACGTATGTTGCACAGAATATTTGAATTAATGCTATTCCTCCTGTTACGAATGATGTAGACCATATCAGGTTTTGAAATCCTGTACCTTCAAGAAAAAAAACCAACTCTTTGCCCTGTCTTACTATGGCTTGAATAGGTTATTATGACTAGTTAATGTAATGGCATTGCAATTCACTTCCAAGTAAAGCATTAGTGAAAACTACAAAATCACTTTAAAGGAGCATGACTTGTTGCTTTGCTAATTGTTGGAATCCTAGATAACTGAAAAGTTGTTTGGTTTGTTTCGTGGATTCTTACTTGAGAAGAAATCTGGTTATAAAAGAATAAATTGGGAGTATGGTAGTGAAAATAACTGTGTGACTTCCTTAGCAGGATGTTTTATTAACTTCATGGTAATGTGCAGAATTAATAAGACAGTAACTCCTTGGCTTATAAATTAAACCAGAAATGTAGAAAGTACTGCATGTGATTACTACTGTGCTAACACAGATGTTAATGACTTAAATGCTGAGTGTTGCTGTCCCGTCTCATCTGAAAAATCCTTAATTCTGTCTGCCTCATCTGAACAAGATAGCATATATGAACTCAATAATTTTAGAGCTCCACACGAAAAGTAATTCATAAAATTAATCAACGATGTTTACCCTTAGAAAATAAGTGAAACAGATTATACTTTATTGGAGACTTAGGTGTCGGAATAAGAAATGGGAAAACTCTAAATGAAGTTGTCTAAAATTGAGTTTTATTTCAGTCAGTACATGTGTCATCTAAAGCTTTATGACCAAGGGGTTGGCAAGAAAAATCTCGGATTTTTACAAGCCTTTAACTTGGTGATTCTTAACAACCTAGTGTTCCATTCAGAAGTGTTTCACTATACTTAAAAGCACAGGTGTGCCTGGTAAAGCTATTGACCCAATTGTATGGAATCCAGTAATTAAAACCCACATAATTTGAAAATCTGATGAGTAAGTCAAAGGGTGTGCATACATAGGTCAGTGGAGAACTACATGAGGGGAAGCAGGCTATGCCAAAGGTTCTCGTTAGTCCTAAAATAAAAGCACTCTAAACATGTTTTGGAATGGTCCCTGGGTTTAAGTGCTTGGCTAAGCATAGCTATTGTGATAGATGATGAAGCAATAAAAAGGAAACTAGTAAAAAAACCACTGTCATCTACAAACTAATTACAGCAGTATCATGAAGTGGGCAAGCTATGGGTTTAGGTTGTCTGGTGTTACTTTGTTTTTGAAGTCACTGCTGCTTGCCATACTGAGAACTAATTAACCCTGGTACTACCAGTTACAAAATCCAACAATAAGCTAGTAAAGAAAATCATTAAGTGATTATTCTTTCAGCCTGTACCAGATGTTAAAGATTTTAGCTGTAAAAACTGTTGAAACTCCTCAGTGTTCTTACCGAGTACAGACAATACTATTTTTACTTCTTCCAAGGTAACTCTTCTGCCAGATAGTGTGGAATTATATAGTATGTAGTGCTTTGCCACTGGGAGAGCCTAAATTTAGCAATGTGCAATACAGGAGAAATTAATCTAATGGTCACGCGGAGAGAAGCCCATGTTCTTACAGCCAGTAAGAGGTTCCATTACTCAGGACAGCAGAATACCCAAGGAATGGCAAGAGTCGGGCAAGCACCACGCTAGGCTTAACCAAAGAAAACGTGCATTTTGAAGGCAGCCGAGCAAGAACAGGTGGGAACGCGGGGAAGGTTAAGTATCAGCTGCTGTTTGAGAAGGGCTGGGGTTACTTCAGCACCGAACAGAGTGCTAAAGTCCCCGCAAGACCCGCTGTTGCCCGAGGCACAGATGCGTGTACGATACCCCCGGTAGCATCGCGGGCGCACCGCGACTTCACCCCTCGAATGGAGACGCTCTGCGAGCGTTGCCGCCGCCGCCGCCATGGTCGCTCTCCCGCCTCACCAACCGCATCGCCCCTCCCGCCGGGCTCTCCCCGCAGTCCCGCCGCGAGTGCGGAGCCCCGCCCGGAGGATGCCGCTCTTCTACCAGTCTCCCCTGCTCTGTGGCCGAGCGCCCGTGACCGGCAGAGCCCGGCGACGCTGTGAAGGCACAGTACCCGCTCCAGCGGGTGCTGTCGACGTCAGCACGCAGGACGGCTGCCGTTGCTAGGTGACGTCAGCGCGCCGGTTGACGTAGCGACGGAGCAGGGGGTGGGGGTCTTGGCGGCGGGGCTGGTGAGTCTGGGGGAGGGTTGTGGTTGGTGTGTGGGGTTTGTGTGCCTTCTGCCCTTGTGGAACGAATGGGTCATGTGGCTTCCCCGCCGTGGAGCCGGCGGTGGCTTCCTCCGTGCGAGGGCGGGTTGACTAGGGAGCGGGCCGAGGAAGTGCTGCGGGGAGCAGCTGAGCTCTCCCAGCGGCGGAGGGGCCGCACCTGAAATGCCTTTCTGTGGAGGCCAGGGTAGGGGGCGGCTGGGCGGGGAGTGTCTTTCGGCTCGGGACGTGGATCTAGGGCCGTGGCGGCCCAGGCCCTGGTTTCCTGGGCGCGACCTTGGGCGAATCGCTCTCTCCCGGCCGCTCTTTTCTGTGCTGATGGGGCGATGTCCCTCGTTCACCTACTCACCCACCCCCTTGCCCGCTCGTTCTGGTAGTGTGCTGGGGTTTTGTGGGTTGGTTGGTTTGTTTTGGTTTTTTTTTTTTTTTTTGGTTGGTTTTATTTTGTTTGGGTTTTTAATAGTATTTTGACGCTTTGGTAGTACACACAATATTTTCACAGGGTCTTAGTACTTAACTACTCTTGCAAGTTGCATACTGCTGCAATTCACTGAAATTCCTTTTGACTTTGAAGAAGCTATCATCAGGCTTAAAAAAAAACCTCAAACAACCGCTGTTAACTTGTTAGCAATATGGCTGTAATCTTGCTTGCCCAGCAGTGTGCTTCGTTTGTGTTATTGTTAAAGCTCAGCACACAGACCCCTCCCAAAGCCCGATGGTGGGACCACTTAGTTCTGTATGTGTGTTAAGATTCCATTTGAGCCAGTTCACAAAGCAGGTGTATTTGGCATGTTTCCTATTACAACTCTAAATCAGGCACTTGAAGTATAGTGTCCTGTTGGGGTCTATTCACTCATTTATAAATAAAAAAAAAAAACAAAAACAACAAAAAAGCTGACCAAAGCCACAGGAATTTTCATAAATGGCATTTGATTAGATTTTGATAATACAAGTCAATTTCATAATCTACAGCACTTGTAGGAGCAAATATTGATGTATTACATGTTATTCTCCAAAAGAAAGAGCTCTTCTTTGCTGGACTGGGATGTGGTTACTTTCCAGTGCATGAAGCTACCTAAAAATACTTTTTTATTTTCTTCTCCTGTATTGCTCCTTTAAACATACAGTTTAAAGAAGGTTAGATTGTCTTTTAGGAGAGGATTCATAGATGAAGGTATCATCTGTTTAGTAAATTAAATACAGTTTATTTTTCCTGCTGGCATATATGATGGGAAGAATAACAATAATTTGTACTTGTTGAGAGAGACTCATTATGTTACCTATGTATTTAAACAAATAAAGCCTCTATATTCCTGTATTTTCCCACCCTACAGTTTTGTTTTCTTGTTTGTAAAATTGAAAGCTTGCACAGGAGAAAGATCTGCAACTGCCTTAAATAAAACCCCACAACCAAAACACAGACAAAATCCCCATATCCTTTAGCTAGAAATTCTAGTGCTATCACTTAATGCTCTGAGGAGTTTTCTCGTAGAATTGTGGGATTTTTTTTAAGAATTTATTTGCACAAAAATTTTAACTGAGAAATACACATCTTGCTCACTTTTGCCATAGGCTACATGTCGCCAGTTTCTCATGGTAATTATTTCATGCATTGTTTCAGGAAATGATACAGTTGTTGCTGTGTAGCTGGATGTCACTGAATCGTGTTTCTATGAGCTTGCTGTTCAATCTGTCTGTTCAGCATGGCAAAGAACCCTAATTTTCAGGAAGCTGGCCATCTGCCTACAGGCTATGTCCACTGTAGATCTTCAGACAGCTTTACTGGTGAGTGGACCAGTGCATTTCCTTGAGATTCTGACTTGAGAGTTTAGTAGTTTAACTGGGTTGTACTGACTGCCTTAATACCTATTTTATGGATGTGTTAATAAACAAGCTGCAGTTAATATATTGTTCTTTGTACCTAGCCAAACTTATTCCTTCTTTGCTGTCAGAGGGATGTATCTCTGAGCAGAACGTGAAACATTAGCACTACAGCACTTAAGTAATGGGAATGTGTTTGAAGATGAGCAGTGCGTAACTTTTAACTTTCCATATGCTTTAAGTCGAAACATTTTTGGTATTAATTATTGTTTAGAATGCTGTATTTGAATGGTGTGGTTATTTATCATTAACAAAAGTTAACATCTGCTTTTCTTTTAACCCTTTCACAACAGAAGGGTTGGAGATGAGACTGAAAAGTTCTGTGAATTTAATTTACTCGATCTTTCATATTCTATGTCTGTAAATTTGTACTACATTGATAATGTTATTTTTTTTATTGGATAATAAGTGTCAGAACATACTCCCCCCCCCCCCCCCCCTTCTGTAACAGTTTTCACTCATAGTCGACTTTGCTATTGTTATTTAGAAGTACAAAAGAGCTTCTGTAGTGAGGGTTCCGACAAAATCAAAGTATTTACTTGGGTTATACTCTGTGTATGTTGAGATGTTTACTAAAAATTTCTATTTTGTAATATGTCACCTTATTGCACCAGAACTTAGGAGCACTAAATGTTTTTGTATAAAAAGATGTGTATGTCCATTACAAAACCCCCCAAATCACCCCCCCCCCCCCATAATATTTGAAACAATGGTAAGTTTGTACAGTAGCTTTACTGTCAAACTTACCATGTTCAAATATATGGTAATAGAAATTATAATTAAAGTAATATTTTGCTGAAATTTATTTGATGCAAAATGTTATATGAAGGAATGAATTGCAAAATAAATTAAATACTATTCAAATCCCCTCCAATCAACTGAGGACAAACTCCTGTTTCTAGTTAAAATAGCCATGTAAGGGAATCTGTATTATCTTGCAAAGTACAAGCTAGATGATGAGGTAATTAAGTCTTTCAAGAGTATGAAATCATACAATTTTTAATTCTAGCAGTCGTTTGCTTACTTGCATTTATTTCTAAAGTTTCAATTGGCTTATCAGTTATGTAAACATTTTTCACTCAGTTTAT